TATGTGTTCCCGGAGGCCTTTTCTGGGGTTGAGGTGGGAACTGGCCTCATCTTGGTCCTCAGGATTCCATCAGACAAGAAGACAGCCCAGGGCTGGGCACAGTGGTTCACGCTTGTAATCCCAATGCTTCAGGAGCCTGAGGCAGGAGGATCGCCTGAGCCCAGGAGTTCAAGAACAGCCTGAGCAACATAGTGAGCTCTGTCTCTACCAAAAATTTAAAAATTAGCTGTGTGTGGTAGCATGCACCTGCAGTCTCAGCTACTCGGGAGGCTGAGGTGGGAGGATCCCCTGAGCCAGGAGGTCGAGGCTGTTGTGGTGAGCCATGATTGTGCCATTGCACTCCAGCTTGGGCTACCTAACGAGACCATATTCCCCCCTCCGCCAAAAAAAAGACAGCCTAAGAAGGCAATCTTTAGAATCAATAATGGTGACATTAGAGACAGCTAGACTTATGTTTTCTGGGCTAGAAATGCCCTCTGAGAGGCCATGGGTGGCCAAGAGGGTGGCTGAGACCATCTCAGTATGGTTGACACTGGGAGGGAAGATTTGGGATCCAGGGACACAGCCCTTGGTGATTTCCATGGCTGCCTCATGGTGTAGGAAACCCCAGGGCAGCAGCTGTGGCGAGGTATGTTGGGTTGGAGAACAGGGACAAAAGTAGTATATGGTAGCATTGCTTTTAGGGGAAAATGCCAGGATGCAGCGATTGTGTAGGAAATCAGAGGCCGCCATGGGGTGGGGTGCCTGTGTGAGTATGAGTGTGTTTGTGTGTGTGTGAACTAAAAAGGTTAGGAATGAAATGGGGAGGTCTGAGTGCCTTGAAAGCCAAGGGAACTAGGACGTGTGGATAACAATGCTTCATTCATGGTTAGCGTTTGGTTTCAATTGATTCATAGAATCAGTGAGTATTGGCTGAGTGCAATGGCTCTTGCCTGTAATACCAGCAACTTGGGAGGCCGAGGTGGGAGGATCAATTGAGGCAGGAGTTGGAGACCAGCCTGGCATAGCGAGAGCCCATGTCGACTTTTTTTTTTTTTTTTTTTTGAGACAGAGTCTTGAACTGTTGCCCAGGCTGGAGTGCGGTGGTATGATCTTGGCTCACTGCAACCTCTGCCTCCTAGTTTCAAGCCATTCTCCTGCTTCAGCCTCCCGAGTAGCTGGGATTACAGGTGCCCATCACCATACCTGGCTAATTTTTTTGTATTTTTAGTAGAGACAGGATTTCACCATGTTGGCCAGGGTGGTCTACCTGGCCCCATGTCTACTTTTTAAAAGAAAGAAAGAAATAGGCCAGGCACGGTGGCTCACACCTGTAATCACAGCACTTTGGGAGGCCAAGCCAGGCGGATCACAAGGTCAGGGGTTCAAGACCAGCCTGACCAACATGGTGAAACTCTGTCTCTATTAAAAATATAAAAATTAGCTGGGCATGGTAGCATGCGCCTGCAATCCCAGCTACTTGGGAGGCTGAGGCTGGAGAATTGCTTGAATCCAGGAGACGAAGGTTGCAGTGAGCCGAGATCATGCCATTGTCCTCCAGCCTGGGGACGGAGTGAGACTACATCTCAAAACAATAAATAAATAAATAAATAGAATCAGTGAGTAGTGAAACTCCATCTCACAACAATCAATCAATCAATCAATAGAATCCGTGAGTATTTACCAAGGCTCCCAGGGCTAGGCCAAATACTAGAGCTCAAGATACAGAGGTGAATCAGACCAGGCCCCAGTCACTTGCAGTCTAATTGTGGAGCCAGACACGGAAGTGAGGAATTCAAGTATCTTGTGACAAGTGCTAGAACAGCAGCATCTGTGTGATGCTGTGGGAATTCACAGCCCAAAGCAGCCACCTCTGCCTGAGGTTGGCAGGGAGATCTCACAGAGGCAAACTGAGCACATGCTTGAGGGATGAGGAAGAGGTTTGAGGGGAAGACGGAGGGTGCTCCAGGCAGAGGGATCAGCATCTGCAAAGCTGTGGAAATGTGAGACCTTATGCACTGGTTCAGGAAGCTTCAGCAGATCCTATTGAAAGAAGCAATGGGAAGGCAGGTATGGTGACTCATGCCTGTAATCTCAGCTACCTGGGAGGCTGAGGCTGGAGGACTGCTTGAGTCCAGGAGTTTAAGACCAGCCTGAGCAACATAGCAAGACCCCATCTTCTAAAAATCAGAAAAAATCCAGGGCACAGTGGCTCACACCTGTAATCCCAGCACTTTGGGAGGCAGAGGCAGGAGGATCACCTGAGGTCAGGAGTGGAGACCAGCCTGGCCAACATGGTGAAACCCTGACTCTACTAAAAATACAAAAAAATTAGCTGGGTGTGGTGGCACATCTGTGTAATCCCAGCTACTCGGGAGGCTGAGGCAGGAGAATCACTTGAATGAAACTCCTTCTGAAAAAAAAATCCGAAAAGAACCAAGGGGATACAAAATTTAATTTAATTTTTTTTTTTTTTTTTTGAGACAGAATCTCACTCTGTCCCCCAGGCTGGAGTGCAGTAGTTCGATCTCAGCTCACTGCAACCTCCGCCTCCTGAGTTCAAGAGATTCTCTGCCTCAGCCTCCCAAGTAGCTGGGATTACACAGATGTGCCACCACGCCGGCTAATATATTTTTTTTTTTAGTATAGACAGGGTTTCACTATGTTAGCCAGGATGATCTCAATCTCCTGACCTCGTGATCCCCCCCGCCTGAGCCTCCCAAAGTGCTGGGATTACAGGCATGAGCCACCGTGCCCCCCAACAAAATTTAATGTCTATATATATTTAATATCTGGTCTCCCTCCTCTGGTAAAATGTCAGCAACATGAGGGCAGGAAGTTTGCCTTATTCTCTACTAGATACTACAGCAGTGCCTGTTACCTGCCGAATATGCTGTGAATGAATAGAAGGAAAGGAGGCAGGGCTCAGAGTAGATGGTGCTGACAGTCTGCTAAAGCAGTTGGGCTTTCTCGTGGAGTAAGTGGGAAGCCTTTGGAAGTTTTAAAGTGGAAAAGAAGCAAGATCTGATGTAGGTGGTAGGAAATCACTTTGACAGTGATGTGAAGGCTGTGAAAATGGAGTAAAAATGGAGCAGTGGGGTCAGGTTGAAAAAATATTGATAATTCCACACAATTAACAAGTAGCTTTGGCAGGGCACGGTGGCTCATGCTTGTAATCCTAGCACTTTGGGAGGCTGAGGATGGAGTATTGCTTTAGGTTAGGAGACCAAGAACGGCCTGGGCAACATAGACAGACATTGCCTCTACAAAAAATAAAAAAAAAAAATTAGCTGGGCACAGTAGCATGCATCTCTAGTCCTAGCTACTTGAGAGGCTGAGGAAGGAGGATCACTTGAGGCCAGGAGTTTGAGACCAGCATGGGCAAAATAGCAAGACACCATTACTACTTTTTTTATTTTTATTTTATTTATTTATTTTTGAGATGGAGTCTCACTCTGTTGCCCAGGCTGGAGTGCAGTAGCACGATCTCAGTTCACTGCAATTTCTGCCTTCCAGGTTCAAGCCATTCTCCTGCCTCAGCCTCCCAAGCAGCTGGGATTACAAGTGTCCGACACCTCACCCAGGCTAATTTTTGTATTTTTTACTAGGATGGGGTTTTGCCATGTTGGCCAGGCTGCTCTCAAACTCCTGAGTTCAGGTGATCCGCCTGCCTCGGCCTCCCAAAGTGGGAGGATTACAGGCATGAGTCACCACCTATTTTTTTTTTTTTTTTTTTAAGTAGCTTTGAAGGCCGGGCGTGGTGTCTCATGCCTGTTATCCCAGCACTTTGGGAGGCCAAGGCTGGCGGACCACCTGATGTCGGGAGTTCCAAACCAACCTGTCCAACATGTTGAAACCCTGTCTCTACTAAAAATACAAAAATTAGCCAGGTGTGGTGGCCTGTGACTGTAATCCCAGCTACTCAGTAGGGTGAGGCAGGTGAATCACTTGAACCCAGGAGGCCGAGGTTGCAGTGAGCCGAGATCGCGCCACCGCACCCCTGCCTGGGCGACAGGGTGAGACTCCATCTCAAAAATAAATAAATCAACAAATAAAAATAAAATATAGGCAGGGCGCGGTGGCTCACACCTATAATCCCAGCACTTTGGGAGGCCAAGCCGGGCGGATCGCCGGAGGTCCGGGAGTTCGATACCAGCCTGACCAGCATGGAGAAACCCCGTCTCTACTAAAAATACGAAATTAGCTGGGCATGGTGGCACGTGCCTGTAATCCTAGTTACTCGGGAGGCTGAGGCAGGAGAATCGCTTGAACCTGGGAAGCGGATGTTGCGGTGAGCCGAGATCCCACCTTTGCACTGCAGCCTGGGCAACAAGAGCGAAACTCTTTCTTAAAAAAAGAAATAAAAGGCCGGGCGCGGTGGCTCAAGCCTGTAATCCCAGCACTTTGGAAGGCCGTGGCGGGTGGATCACGAGGTCAAGAGATCGAGACCATCCTGGTCAACATGGTGAAACCCCGTCTCTACCAAAAATACAAAAAATTAGCTGGGCATGGTGGCGCGTGCCTGTAATCCCAGCTACTCAGGAAGCTGAGGCAGGAGAATTGCCTGAACCCAGGAGGCGGAGGTTGCGGTGAGCCGAGATCGCGCCATTGCTCTCCAGCCTGGGTAACAAGAGCGAAACTCGGTCTCAAAAAAAAAAAAAGAAATAAAAAACTAAAAGTATCTCTGATTTTTACAATATCCCTGAGCGGCAGGCGTTTCTCCCTTTTGCAGAGGAGGGAAGGAACACTGCGACGCGCAGTGGCTTGGCAGAGACACAACTAAGTAGTGAGTCTCGGGGTTCAATCCTCCCTCTGCGGCGCCCCAGAACCCTGTGCCTCCTCTAACGTCCAGCATCTGATGAGGTTCCGACCCGGGCTGGCGACGGCGGGATTCGTTCTTCCCATTCGGTCCCCGCGAGAAGGTCCCTAGGGCCGCGGCGGCGCAGACCCGGTGGCCACAGAAGCTCAGGCGGGAACCGCGGGGCGTGAAGAGGGAGTATGGGTCTCGGCGGCCGCCGTAGAAACACCGCTCTGGTCTCCATGGCGACAGCGGGATGCCGCGAACGGCTTCTGGGTGGAGCCGGCGCCTTGGCCGATTGGACTCAGCTCGGCGCGGAATCCGTGAATTGCCCGCGGCTCGAGGGTGCAGGTGGTGGGGACCGACCGACCGGGGAAGCCCGAGGTGTGGGGACCAAGGAGGACAGTGGCCTGGGCGCCCTGGTGCCTGCGAGGAAAGCGCCGCCTCTGATCCCCGGCTCCCCAATCCGCTTCCCAAACCCCACCTTCCGGCACAGCGATGGCCTCAGTTTCCCCAAACAGAAAAGGGGAAGAGGGTGGGCACCCCGGTCTAACGGCCCCTCCCAGCCTCTGAGACCCAGAACCTTCCCTCCTCTGCAGCTCCCGGACTGACTGGCCCTGCCCTGCTCCATGGACGTAAGTCCGGGCCCCTTCCCGTCTCTGGGCCCCCTCAGCGCCCAGTCCTTACCCCAACTGGGCCTACCTTCCAGCACGGACTGGGGAGGAGGCTTCTACCCAACACAGACTGCACCCTGCCAGCTCAGGACAAGAGCTGTGAGGAAGAGTGCCGGGAATGGACTTCCCACGGGAGGGCACTTTTCTGGTATTCTTGGCTGAGATGAGGAGTTCACCAAGTAATCCAGGAGAAAAGGCATTTCCGGCAGAGGAAACAGTCTTGGGGTGAGAGGGAGGCTGCAGCATTCGGGGAACTGCTAGGGCTGTCGTGTGGTTGGAAGAGGGGAGGGAGAGAGGTAGGCAGGGTTAAATTTGGAATTTTGTCACTGACATAAATTTTAAGTGCCAGGTGTGGTGGCTGTCGCCTGTAATCCCAACTTCTGAGGAGGCTGAGGTGGGAGGATCGTTTAAGCCCAGAAACTCCAGGCTGCATCGAGCCATGATCATGCAGCTGCACTCCAACCTGGGCGACTGAGACACCGCCTCTAAAAAAAATTGGCCAGGCGTAGTGGCTCATGCCAAGAATCACAGCACTTTGGGGGGCCAAGGCAGAGGGATCACCTGAGGTCTGAAGTTCAAGAGCAGCCTGGCCAACATGGTGAAACCCCCTCTCTACTAAAAATACAAAAATTAGCTGGGCATAGTGGCACGAGCCTGTAATCCCAGCTACTCTGGAGGCTGAAGCAGGAGAACCTAGGAGGCGGAGGTTGCAGTGAGCCAAGGTTGCCCCACTGTACTCCAGCCTGGGCCACAGAGCAAGACTCCGTCTCAAAAATAATAATAATAAAATAAATAAATGCATATATAAAAGAAGAAGTTTTAAGTGAGTCACTGGGAGCCATTGATGGATTGTAAGGGAGGGAGGGATACACAAGGACACCTGGGGTGGAAAGGGGCAAAATTGGATGAGAGGGGCCAGTAATGTGGCAGGGAGTGGCAGGGGACTCAGACAGATTTCTTTGGAGAGGCATTCTGGAAGGAACTGGGGATGACAGGGAATAAGGCAGGCTTGGGGTACAAGATAATTAGTCAGGGTGTAGTCCTATTGATGCCCCCACCATCTGGTGGCCGTTCCTCTCCCAGCCACCTCCGTGTCCCTCATGGTATTCCTGTGTTCCTGCAGCCCCTCTCCACTTCCTTGTCACCCCTTCCTCCTGTGCTCGTCCAGGCCTCCTCTAGCCCGTGGAATCCAACCCCGGCTCCTGTCAGCAGCCCTCCCCTGCTGCTCCCCATCCCTGCCATCGTCTTCATCGCTGTGGGCATCTATTTGTTGCTGCTGGGTCTAGTGCTGCTGACTAGGCACTGCCTGCTGGTGAGGGGTCTGGTTGTGGATAAAGGGTGGGCTCTGGGGAAGAGGAATCCTGGTAACCTGTCCCTTCATCTGCAGGCTCTTACCCTGAGACACTTACCATTAAGCCCTTGCATTTATCCCTTTTGTGGTACCAGGGGGTCCCTCCTCTCCCATCCCCAGCCAAACCTTTTCCTGCCCCCTTGGGAAAGCTGCCTTGGCTGTCACTACCTGCTGCCTGGCCCACATCCTGAACCCTGTGATCTAGGCCCAGGGCTGCTGCGTGGACGGTAGCTCCCCCTGCAGGACGCAAGGTGCCTCCGGGCCCCGAGACTGCTGCCGGACCTGTGCGGAAGCCTGCGACTTTCCTCTGCCTAGCCCAGCCCAGTTCCTGGATGCATGCTGCCCCCAGCCCACCGGAGCTGTGAGTTCCATTCCTACCCCTTGCCCCGCTAAGTTTGATCTAGGTATTATCTGTACATTCATGTTTTTGCTCAACAGTATTTATTGCTGAGCACCTCCTCTAGGCCAGGCACTATTCTGGGGTATGAATCACGTGGAGCCAGGTAAAATCAATCTATCAGACAATGTCTGGTGATGAAAGCTACTTGAAGAAAAGAAAATAGCATGCCAGCCGGAGAAAGGTGATGTGTGTAACATGTAGAGCAGATAACCAGCACTTCTGAAAATGGGAGCTGAATGAAAAACAGCTCACACAGCTCCTTCCCGTTCACCAAATGAACTATATTCCAGATATAGGGCCTTTTTACTGACATCATTTTTCCCAACAACACTAAGAACGGAGTTTTTGTTTTTTTCCTTACTTTCCTCCCTCCAGAGCTGGTTTTTTTGTTTGTTTGTTTTTGTTTTTAAGACGGGGTTTCATCTTGTTGGTCAGGTTGGCCTCGAACTCCTGACCTCAGGTGATCCACCCACCTTGGCCTCCCCAAAGTGCTGGGATTACAGGCGTAAGCCACTGTGTCCTGCCCGGTTTTTTGTTTTTTGTTGTTATTGTTGTTTTGAAACAAGATCTCAATCTCACCCAAGCTGGAGTGCAGTGGTGAGATCTGGGCTCACCGCATCCTCTGCCTCCCAGGCTCAAGCAATTCTCCTGCCTCAGCCTCCTGAGTAGGCATGTACCACTACTGCCGAGCTAATTTTTGTATTTTTAGTAGAGATGAAGTTTCACCATGTTTGCCAGGCTGGTCTCGAATTCCTGACCTCAAATGATCCACCCGCCTTGGCCTCCCAATGTGCTGGGATTACAGGCGTGAGTCACCATGCGTAGCCATGGATTTTTGTTTGGTTTTAGAGACAGAGTCTTTGTCACCCAGGCTAGAGTGCAGTGGCACAATCATAGCTCACTGCAGCCTCGAATTCCTGGAGAGCTGGGTTTTTTTTTTTGAGACAGAGTTTTGCTCTTTTTGCCCAGGCTGGAATACAATGGTATGAGCTCGGCTCACTGCAACCTCCACCTCCCCAGTTCAAGCAAGTCTCCTGCCTCAGCCTCCTGAGTAGCTGGGATTACAGGTGCACGCCACTACACCCAGCTAATTTTTGTATTTTTAGTAGACATGGGGTTTCACCATATTGGTCAGGCTGGTCTCGAACTCCTGACCTCATGATCTGCCTACCTCGGCCTCCCAAAGTGCTGGGATTACAGATGTGAGCCACCCTACCCGGCCTAAGGATCTCTCTTTTTTTTTTTTTTTGAGATGGAGTCTCACTTTTGCCCAGGCTAGAGTGCAGTGGTGCAATCTCAGCTCACTGCAACCTCCGCCTCCCAGGTTCAAGCAATTCTCCTGCCTCAGCTTCCCAAGTAGCTGGGATTACAGGTGCCCACCACCACATCTGGCTAATTTTTATATTTTTAGTAGAAACAGGGGTTTCGCCATGTTGGCCATGGCTGGTCTTGAACTCCTGACCTCAGGTGATCCACCCACCTGGGCCTCCCAAAGTGCTGAGATTATAGGCATGAGCCACTGCACCTGGCAAGAGCTGGGTATCTTTTAAAACCTATGTTTTTTCTGATTACAAAAAGTATTATTTACAAAGTATACATATAGAAATACATGAAAAGTACCAATCACTTTACAAACCAGCTCTCTAACCCAAAATTGCTGTTCTATATGTATCTCTTATATACTAACATACAGTACTATCACTGCTGTATTTTACTATTATTTGGCAAAAATGGGGTTGTATCCCATAGGTTATTTCATCATACATGCTACTGTCCTCCCATCCCCCGCCTTTTCTGAGACAGGATCTTGCTCTGTCACCCAGGCTGGAGTACAGTGATACAATCATAGCTCACTGCAGCCTCTACCTTTTGGACTCAAGCAATCCTCCCACCTCAGCCTCCCAAGTATCTGAGACTACAGGTGTATGCCACCACACCCAGCTAATTTTTATATCTTTCGAAGAGACACGGTTTTTTTTTTTTTTTTTTTTTTTTTTTTTTTTTTTTTTTTTT